AAATAATTTTTTTTTATTAAAATTAAATCTTAAATTTAAATTTAATCCACGGAACTTACAGTTTGATTAAATTTTTTAAAAAATTATGATTCAAATTTCAGATCCCTACTTCATTTATTCTGCCTTTATATTATTTAATTATTACAACTTATATTTGGTTTCGAAGTTAAGATAAAAGTCCAAATTTTGCTTTAGAATTAAATCTAAGATTTGAAATTAATTTACTCTTTAATTTATTTATTTAAAATTATACAACTACAATTTTCTTACTTCATATACATAATTTAAGAAAACATCCTCCATTTTCTCCAATAATTTCAAAAGTTTCAAATAGAATTTTTAATCTTTTTTTAATTTTCACAAAAAAAAATAATTTACTCAGAGTTTATTAACACGAAATTAATTTGATTAAAATTAAACGAAAAAAGAAAATTAAACTGATAAAAATTTTATAATCAATATTTTTTTATTAATTTTGTAAAAAAAAAAAAAATATAAAATGACAGAAATTATCATTGAAAATAAAAAATAATTTTGCAAATGTCATGACTTTCAAAATGTCTGGTCTTTACATTTATGCTTTGATAATTTTATTAATATTTTTTTAAGAAATTTAGTTTAGATTCTCACCTTCTGGGTACTCACAATATTCTTATTCAAAGTATTCTTAATAATTATCTATTAATTTTTAAATAATAAATTAAATAAACACAAAAATTATTTGAGATTTTTTTTTTTTTGAAATATTTATCAGATAATGTAAACAAATAGAAAAGAGAAGAGTTTTAAAAATTAAATAATTTGGTCGTATGTGTCATTTCCTCTTAAAGAAAAATGACACACTTAGTTAGACTGACACAAAAACGTTGTCATCTTCTTTACTTAATTTTATCAAGAATAATATTTTTTTCGATAATATTAAATGAAAATTTTTAAATAATTTAATAAATTTCAAGCATTAGATCAAATTTCATACAAAATTTTTAATATTAATTTTATTAATCAAAATAATTTTCTTATTTATTTTAAAAGATTTTTAAATTTGATTACTTATATAGAGTTATTTGATCGTTTAATTTTTAATGAGACTAAACAAATATAAGTAAGAAAAAGTTATCTAAACACCAAGTACTATTGAGTTTACAAGGTTGCTCATTACCAAGTACAGGAACTAAATTATTCATTTTTACCAATATAAACTTGTAAAATAACTATTTAAAATTCTAAACAAAGAAATTTTTTTTTTACCTAAAAAGGCCATTGTTTTCCATATTTTTTTTAAAACTTATTATAACTCTACATATGTATATATGTATATATATATACGACAAAATCTAGCTTACAAAGTAAAAATTAGCTTATATTTATATTGATATACACTTGTAATACTCAATATAACTATATAAAATATAAACTATAATTAAAAGGGCAAACAAAACATACACATTTAACTATGTACAACTTTGTTTAGTTATATTATATAACATATTTTTAATTAACATATAAATATGAATATACACATACATACGTATCCAAAACTAAACATAACAACATTATGTTGTATTACTTAATTATATGTATATACATAAATATAGCTATATATTTCACTATTATAACATTTTTTGTTTAAATTAGTTAAAAGAAATATTTTAGGGTTACCCAAAAAAAAAAAAAAATAAAACAAAGAAAACTTTATATTTGACCTTACTATTACTACTATATGAGAGCATTTATCGTACGATACAACAATAATTTAATCGTAAAAATAATATATTGGTACATATAATATTGATACGTAACTTGTTAACAGTTGTACAAAGAATTGTTTCCGTTTATTGAAAAATTTTTTATTAAATAATTTTTTCAATATTGTTTCCAATAACGTTTATTGTAATATATCGTAAAATATATAGCTGACATTATTCTCAAATAAAAATTTTATATAAAATTGTTGGTAGCGATGACTTAAAATTTAAACTTTTATCACTACAAAGTATGACTTCAATTTTGAAGTTACAGATACATACCTTGTATGTTATACAAGGAGCTACATAATTAGAAATTATTTCATTCAGACCACTTAAATATTTCTATATTTATTACTTAATTTTTATTAATTCTTATTAATTTTAATTTGAATATTTATTAATATTTTTGTCGAATTTTAATTAATTATATGCATCTAACTTGAATTGTGTTTGGAGAAATACATGGTACGCAATTTGGTCTCATGTAAATACGGTCTATTTTAATTTAAAATCTTAATATAATATTTTCTTAATTCATATTCGTTGTGCGCGTGTTGTTTAACGCCAATAATCAGTCGCGTTCCTACGTTGTATACATTGTATAACCATAAATATTTATTATTGTATACAAATAATAAAACATCTATCTATAACTATAGAGAAGCTACCAATCTATATATTTTTTTAATTTTATATCGTATAAATAAAATTAAATTTATATACAGTCGAACACGCTCATTTGAAACAAATATATAAGCAAAACAATTTTGAATACGAATTGTATATATTATGTAATTTGTCTAAAATAAATATTTGTCTAAATATAAAAGACTAAGGCATTTAATTACATTTAATTTTTATTAAGAAATAAAAACTAAATGTAATTTTTTTAATTCTTCATACTATGTATTTGTAACGTTTAATTGCAACTCGCTTAATAACACAAAACTTTTTATATAAGCACAAAAATTTTTGATAGTTTTGTCAGTATGTCATACAAAGAGTATGACACAAATTTTGATAATGTTGTCGCATTGTTATTTCTATTACAACATTTGACATAAAAAATTTAATGTTGCGAATAGGAAATGAATTACAGTACAATACGGATATATGCGTGTTTCATACATGTAAGCGTGCTCGATTCTGTATGAATGAATGAAAATTTTGTTTATAAATATTATAAAATATGCGATTATTTTATTTTTTCATTATTAATACTTTATAAATTTTATTTTATCTATTAAGTCAAGGACATTTATACAATAAATTTATTTTTTGTTTTTGTTTGCATAACATTTTTGAATTATTTTCTATTTCTTTTTTAATCTAATTTTAAAATATTTAAATTTTGTTTTTGTTTTCTTTCTTATTTTGTCTAAAAATGTTTTCAAATGTTTTTCTTATTCAAATAAACAAAATACTTTTTTTTTTTGTATAAAACAAAACACATAAAATATTTTAAATTGTTTTTATTATTAATTGTATTTTGCGTCTTCCATAATTAATTTTAATTTAAAAAAATGAAAAACTTTTTTTTTCACAAAAAAAAAAAATGTGTGTTTAAAATCATTGTCGAAATCAATAATATTGTCGCCTTATATCAGAATTATCCTAAGTTACATTTTAATAATTTTTCAGGAATTCGTATAAATTTTGTTTTAATTAAATTTAATTCTTTTAAATGGTTTTAGATTAAATAAAATAATAACAATTATAAAAAAAAATTTATTAATTTTCAAATTTTGTTCTAAAACCTGTTTTTCTAGTTGCTTACTATTTACATACATATACGATAAAATCTACGATTTAATTTAAATCTGATGAAAGTTGTGCTTATAGAAATTCTCATCAGACTTACTGCCCGATTTTTTAAAGGTAAAATGGTAACAATTAATTTTTTTAGGGAAAATTTTGAGCAGCGGACAGCTGATTTTTATTTTTTTTATAATTTTCGTCGTAAACTAATTTTAACGTAAAATCTGAGATGGTTTCAATCCGATATGCAACCAGTAGTCAAACTTTATCGTAATCTTAGATTTTATTGTACATAACAACGTAAACAGTAACTTATTGGAGTTCTGATCTAAGATGCGGCAATATGTTTTATGTCAATATGTTACACACCTTGATTTTATTTTTTATTTAATCCACGGAAAGGTAAAAAATTTTGATTTAATCAAGTTTTGATTTTAAAATTTCACGGTTTTATATCAAAAATATATTTTATGTAAGTATATACCTACATGCACCTATTTAACCTAGATACTTCGCCGAATAAATTTACCTTGTTCTAATTTTCACCCTTTACTTATTTTTTTTTTTGATCACGGTGAAAAATCTTTTTGTTTTTTTTTTTAAATACGACATTCATATTTTCTATGCATTTTCAAAAGTTAAACCGAAAATAAAAAATTATTATCGTAAAAATAAAATTGTTAACGTAAAAGCACTTAAAATTTTTAAGAACTTGTTCTTCGAATTTTAACAGACGCGAACCAAATACAAAAAACGACGATTTTTTTTTTCTAGTTTCTCTTTTATGGAATTCTTACCTTTTTTTTTATAAATGCATTACACAAGTATCTATAAATATTTTAATTTTAAAAATAAATTTTGTTCCTAAAAAACTGAAAAAAAAAATCAAAATTTAAGGTAGTAGATAATTTTGATGCTGACAATTTTGTTTGTAGAATAAGGTAGATAGGTAGAATAGGGTAAATTTTCCTTGCCCTAAAATTTTGCTGTTTTTAAAAATTATAATAAAAAAGTAAAAAAATTCAAGATTCCTTCAAAAAAAAAAAACGCAAATTCATTTAATGAAAATCTCCAAGGATATTTCTTTTTTGTTTGCCCAGATAATTTGCTTATTATTGTTCCTCTTCCTTTGCCTTATTTTTGTAGGTAGTTAGGTAGATATTCCCATTTTGTTGTTTTTTTAACTTTAATACTTACTTATTTTTGCTTTCAAAAAAAAAATAAATAAAATTTCCCTTTCCCCTTCCCCGAAATAAACAAGAATTCACAATAAATCTCAAAATAATCCTCCAGTCCTTTAAGAACTCAAACCCTTTTTTTTTTATTCATATTTTAAACTCAATTATTAAATAATTTGCAATTTTATTATTTCAATAATAGTAAAAAAAAATTAAAGAAAGAAATAATAATTTGCAATATGTTAAAAAAAAAATCTAAAATTTTTGTTATTTTAGGTAAAAATTTAAAAAAAAGGAAATTAAAAAAAAAACTTACCTGATACATTGCAGTTTTTGGTAAATCCAAGCAAACAGCACAACATAATGCCGATAAAAGACGTGATTCTAATTTTTCAATTTGACCAGAATTTGAACTGGCTGTTTTATTATGATCTAATTTAATTTTTTTTGTTTCTGGTTCATCATCATGACCCAATTTACGACACATATTATTATTTGTTGTTGTATTATTATTATTATTGATTGATGATGATAAATTATTATTTCCTCCAATACCAACACCACTACCAATAATACCACTTCCAACTCCTCCTATTCCTCCACCTCCACCACCAACAATAATATTACCACCAATAATATTATTATTATTATTATTATCACCACCGCCGATACCAATTTGTATATTCGATGAACTTGATGTTGCAGCTTGTATTGGACTATGTATACTACTGGCAGCAATAGATACAGTAGCAACACCAATACCACCCGATATATTCGAAGATGATGATGATAATGTTTGCTGTTGTTGTTGTTGTTGTGGATTAATTGTTGGTGTTGTTGTTGTTGTTGATGATGTTATATTTATTGGATTTATAATTGATGTTGCAGCAGTAGATGAAGATGGTGATGATGATGTTGCTGTTGATAATAATGTTGATGTTGATGATGATGCAGTTGCAACATTATTATTATTATTATTATTACCAACAACAACAGAATTAATAATATTTGTTGATGATGCTGATCCTGATGTTGATGATGTTGTTGATGATGTTTGTTCAACATGTATATCAGCTGCAATTAATGGTATTATTGGATTTATATGACTTGTAGATGTTGGTGGTTGTGATACAACAGAAGAACTTGAGGATGATTCTACATCCGCCATTTTTTATTTTTTTTATTTTCTATTTTTCTATTTTCACCAAGAACAATAAACTTTTTATATATATTTATGTGTATATATTGATATAGATATATATTTACATAAAATTTATGTAAGTATGTATGTATGTATGTATATATAGCAGATATTAAGATATATGTATATATATATATATATAGATAGATATATAATATGTATATATGTATAAAATATTTGGATGGAGAATAAAATTACACTTCCTTATATACTTAATTAATTTTTTTTTAAATTACACAGAAAAAAGCACACACAAAATATAATATAAAAAAAATTAAGAATAATTTGCAAAGAATTTTTTTTTCTTTTTCAAATAATCAAGATTAATTTCGACAAATTGATTTTTTGTATTTTTCGTTCCACTCTAATAAAAAGTTGATTTCTTAAAATCACATTTAAAGATTTCCTTGCTATCGAATACGAAAAAAAAAATATTAAAAATTCCCCAACTAGGTAGGCAGGTACCTACTTAAAACACATAAAAAAAAATCAAATTTTTGATGGAACAAAGAATTTTTATTTTTTCTTCTCTAATTCTGGGCTTCCTACTTTAATTTCTTCTTGGCTTACTCAAATTACACAATATTGTTTATTTTTTTTAATTTAAATTAATTATTAATATTGATTTTTTTAATATTTGCAATAAAAAATAAAAAATTTCAAATAATTTTTTTATCTTCTTTTTTTTTCTAATTTAAAATTTTCTTTTTTTTTTTGACAGAATATTAAAAATATTGAGAATAACAAAACTTATTTGACGTCTACTCTTTCCAACACAAAACGAGAGAATGAAAATAAAAATCATATGTAAGAAATGGCAAAGCTCCTAGGGAAAAAAAATTTATAAAAAAAACAAAGAAAAACATTTGAAAAAAAAATATACTAAACAACAAAGAACAAAGAAAATGTAAACAGTGTTATTATTGTTGTAAAATTGTATATACACATATGATGAAGGGAAACGTTAGTAAAAAGCATTGCCAAATTTCAATGTTTACGTTTCGAATGAATTGTCTAGGTAAGAAAAAGATAGTATATCTTTGGCATTGTTTTGAATTTTTTTATATTAATATTTTAGGTTGTTAGACAAAGTAAGATATACTGTTATATAAAAGCACCATTTTTTGACATTAACTTTTTACTACATTTTAGCGAAAGCAAAGAAATAGAGCTGTAAACTATATTAAAATTTAGCCTCAAAGCAATTTAAGACAAAAATGGTAGTGAATTGAATGTCATAGGTATTATTAAGGTATCAAAAAAGAATTACGTATTAATAGGGATTTACGATAATTAAGAGATGCTCTAATGTCATCTATTTCTTATAATTGCTTACAATCTGCAGAAATTGAATAAATCTGCAATATTTTACTTTGACAAATTTGTAACATACTTGAGTAATTCTTTAATATTCAACATTTCTCTATTATGCTCCTCTTCTAATTTATAATATTAGCAGTAGCTTCCTTTTTAAATTCCTTTAGGAAATTTAAATAGGTACAGCTGTTGTATTCAAATACAACAGAAATATTTGAATATAACAGGTGTACCTACTTAAGAACTGAAGAACCTAGTTAAGAACTGAATTATCGAAAATTGCTTATGTATGTACTTTATGTATATATGTATGTATATATGTATTTTATATTTTTAGCATACATACGATAAAGTGTACATAATTATAATTTACACAAAATTTAATGGAATTTAAGAATTTATAAGTTGTGTGAGTCATACAGGTTGCTCATTACATCCTTAATTAAACTAATTGCTTAATTTTAATTTAAAATTTATTAGAAATGATTATCTTCATTTTTTATTGAAAACGTTTCGAATCGTTTCTTTGATTTCTTTTAGTGATATGATGAAATTCAAAGTTAATGCAATATTGCAATTGTTTTTTTAGCATTTACGTTTTCAAAGCGATTAAATCCCTGATTTTCATAACGATATTAAATGTTTAGAAATAAACAAATAAGATATGATGAAAATTATTATGAACTATAAATAAAAACAAGATTTTTGTGTTTGACTTTATTGAAAAAATCAGAATTAAACACGTCATTTTCATTTAAGTTTTAATCACTTACAAAGTAACCATTTTATCTATACTTTTTTATTTTTATATTTTAAATTTGAGAATTCAATAATATTTTTATTCTTTAAAGAAAAATTTTATGTAAAGAAAATAAAATCTAGATTTATGGTGAATTAGAAATGTCCATATTATCTGATTTTTCTACACTTGGTGAGCGTTTCTTATCATCGTTATATCCAATTTTTTCTTCAGCGTCATAGTCACGTATTATAGATTCTTCAGCAATTTTTCGCATTTTTGGAGTACGAGATCGTCTTCTAGAGGAGCTTGATTTTGTATCTTTAGAATGACTGCTACGACCACGAGATGATGAACGACGTTTACTACGAGAACGTGATCTTCTTCGTTCATCTTTACTGCGATGTGATTTTTTACGATCACGAGATCTTGAACGTCTTGAACGTGAATGACTCCGACGACGTGATCGAGAACTTCGTCTACGGTCTCTTGATCGTGAACGACTTTTTCGTCGAGATCCTCTTGATCTGGATCGACTTTTTCGTCTTGAGCCTTTCGATCTGGACCGACTACGGCGACGTGATCCACGGGATCTTGAACGACTTTTTCTTCTTGACGTCCTCGATCGTGATCTACTTTTTCTTCTTGAACCTCTGGACCTTGAACGACTTTTTCTTCTAGAACGTGATCGTTTTGACCTAGACCTTGATCTTGATCTGGAACGAGATCCATGCCTTCTTTTGTCCTTAGCCAGCATTCCAATTACAGGATCTATAGCTGCTGATATCATGCTTTGTGCTTCTTTAACCAAAGTCATGGCTTCTTCAATTTCTTTTTGAGCAGCTTCATTACTTTTAGCTTCAGGCTTGGCAATGGCTTCTGTTGAATGGTATATATTTAAATAGCCACTTCTGAATTCACTTCCTTGTAATTTCAGTGCCTCAATTACACTTCTTTGCTGACAGAATTCTATCATACAATGGGTTTTTCCATCCTTTTCAGCCCATCTGGCATATTTTACTTCACCCGCACGAGAAAAATATTCCATTAAATCATCTAGTCTCCATTCATCACGAACATCAACAACCAAAATTGTTCTTCGTATTTCTTCTATTTTACGGCTATCTAAATGTGCTGGTAAAGCTGGATAAGGTGGCAAATTATGTTCCTCTAATTTGGGATCGTATGTCATTACAACCTGAAATATTTTTCGGTTATAATTATGAATTTTTATAGCAAAATTGTTTACCTGTTGGGGTGTTTGTCCTTCCAAACGATTAACTACTTCTGGTGGTAGTTTAGAATCGGCTTTTTGTAAACCAGGAACAATAGTGCCGTTTTTTGACATTTCTAAAGCACGATATTCTTCTGGAATTGATTGTACTGGTATTACAATAAGTGCACGATCAATAAATACAGTATTTGTTAAGTGCTGGGCAACTGCAACACAACTACTTTCAAAATATTTTACATAGCATATACGAGATTGCACCGGACACGATACATCACGTACAGTTGGGTATAGTCTTATCTCGTCAATTTTGCCGATATTTCCAAACAAACTTTGCATTTGATCCTTTGTAGCTTGCGGTGCAATATTGGTTATTTGCACCACTTTCGTACCAGTGGACGTGCCGCCACCAGCCATTTTTAAACGTTTCTATTATACTACAATTTAAATAAATTTATATCTTTATTTTTATTTCTAAATCTATACTTCCATGCCACTTGAAAAATGGCTGATGCCGATAAATTTACACGAGAAAACGCTTTTATATGACTTTTGACGTTGACATTTCAGAATTATTCACAATATAATGTTGTTTAAAAGTCAAGCAGGGATGTTCGATTTAATAGTTTTTGAAAAAACGTAGGATAACTGAAACGAAAAATTAAATATCAATAATTTTACTTTGATGTTTTTTATAATTTTTTGAAACTACAACAGTTTTATATTCTTAGAGTGCTGTTCCTGATATTTCAACCTTGAAATTAGAATTTCTAGAACACAAAAATTGCAATATAGAAGTGTTTTAGCAAGTTCGAGTGTAGCAATGTAAAACGACTTTTCACAGTCCTCAATTGTTTTCATACTTGTATTTCTGTATGTATAATATTCCACAGCAAACCATTTTAGTTACATTTTTCACACTAACGATTACATGATTACTTTTTAACTTTTTTACTGTGAATATAAAATATTTGAACTTTGTTAGCATTTTGACAGCACTGCTTGTAAAAGCAAAAAAGAATAGCATGAGTATAGAATTATCGTACCGTATTGCCTTCTTTTTCTAATGCATGCAAAAGGGTGAAAACAAAAATCATCTGTAGAAATTTAAATACTTAGAAAAATAATAAATGCAAAAAATCAAAAAAAAAATTTGTATTACGAAAACAAATTTGTATTGTAAATAATTATTTTTACTATTAGGGTAGGTAGGTGCTGTAATCATATGGTTGAAAATAATAGAGGTGCCATTATTCACTCATGTTAGTCTATTATAGCTATGCATATTGAATTATTTATATTATTGCATGTATTATTTATTATTAAACATATGTAATTCATATTGAAATTGGGACAAAGAATTTCAATGGATATTTTAAAAACTTTTTGGGTAATTTGTTAAAAAAGCTTACATGCACTCAGTTCTTCCCCGGATTTGTAATTGCAAATAATAGATAAACGTGAATAATTAGAATATGGGATATTTTTAGTATTTAATAAAAAAAAAAAAATTGTTTACATTTGACTTTATTGGAAAAATCCAAATTAAACACATTTTAACTTAGAAGTTTAATGACTTGAATTGCACAGTAAACATATTTTCTACATTGTTGTTCCTCTACTTAACTATTAAGATGAAAAGTAGGGAAAATATTCTATACGTGTATATATATATGAAGAGAATGCAATAAATAATTTAGGGTGAATTAGAAATGTCCATATTATCAGATTTTTCTACACTTGGCGAGCGTTTCTTATCATCGTTATATCCAATTTTTTCTTCAGCGTCATAGTCGCGTATTATGGATTCTTCAGCAGTTTTTCTGCTTTTTGGTGTACGAGATCGCCTTTTAGAAGAGCTTGATTTTTTATCTTTCGAATGACTGCTGCGTCCACGAGAAGATGAATGGCGTTTACTCCGGGAACGTGATCTTTTTCGCTCATCCTTACTGCGGTGCGATTTTTTACGATCACGAGATCTTGAACGTCTTGAACGTGAATGACTCCGACGACGTGATCGAGAACTTCGCCGACGATCTCTAGACCTTGAACGGCTCTTACGTCGAGATCCTCTTGACCTAGATCTACTCTTTCGTCGTGAAACTTTAGATCTTGAACGACTACGGCGTCGTGATCCGCGCGATCTTGAACGGCTTTTCCTTCTTGACGTTCTTGACCGTGATCTACTCTTCCTTCTAGATCCTCTGGATCGTGAACGACTTTTCCTTCTAGAACGAGATCGCTTTGATCTGGATCTCGATCTAGACCTAGAACGGGATCCGTGTCTTCTTTTCTCTTTGGCCAACATTCCAATCACAGGATCTATAGCTGCTGATATGATGCTTTGTGCTTCTTTCACCAAAGTCATCGCTTCTTCAATTTCTTTTTGAGCGGCTTCATTACTTTTAGCTTCTGGCTTTGCAATGGCTTCTGTTGAATGATATATGTTTAAATATCCATTTCGGAATTCACTTCCTTGTAATTTTAATGCTTCAATTACACTTCTTTGTTGACAGAATTCTATCATGCAATGAGTTTTTCCATCCTTTTCAGCCCATCTGGCATATTTTACTTCACCTGCACGAGAAAAATATTCCATTAAATCATCTAGAAGCCATTCATCACGAACATCAACTACCAAAATTGTTCTTCGAATTTCTTCAATTTTACGACTATCTAGATATGCTGGTAAAGCTGGATATGGTGGCAAATTATGCCATTTTAACTTAGGATCGTAAGTCATTACAACCTTAAACATTTTATGGCTATTATAACGCACTTTTATAACAAAATCGTTTACCTGTTGTGGTATTTGTCCTTCTAGACGATTAACCACTTCTGGCGGTAATTTAGTTTCAGCTTTTTGTAAACCAGGTACAATAGTGCCATTTTTTGACATTTCCAAAGCACGATATTCTTCTGGAATTGATTGTACTGGTATTACAATAAGTGCGCGATCAATAAATACAGTATTGGTTAAGTGCTGGGCAACTGCAACACAACTACTCTCAAAATATTTTACATAACAAATACGTGATTGTACTGGGCATGATACGTCTCGTACAGTTGGATATAATCTTATCTCATCAATTTTTCCAATATTTCCAAATAAACTTTGCATTTGATCTTTTGTAGCTTGGGGAGCTACATTGGTAATTTGTACCACTTTCGTACCAGTGGATATACCACCAGCCATTTTTATAATTTTTTAAATATTTTAATTTACTTTTGTCTTATAATTTAGTAATTTTATTTCTCTTAATATTTTAAGAGATTTACAATTTCCTTTTTAATTGAAAACACTTTTGTAACTTTTGACAGTCCCTTTATAGAATAAAAATCCCTTAAAATAAATCAAGCAGGGATGTTTTCCACTTTTCGTTACTTCAATAGATAAATTAAAATAGTGAACAGGTATACAATGTACAAAAATTGCACTTAGAAATGGTACTTTTTCATGGGAATAAGGTCAAGATAATTGCTTTCAAATATTTTTAAAGACTGCATTTGTGTTTTTTCGGTATTATCAATAAAGTACTAGTTTTGCTTAACTTCTCATACTACATTTATTTGGCTTAGTAACGTATATTTATTTGGCTTATATTCATATATTTTCTATTTATAAAATGAGAAAGTACAGTGGTTTTCGAAATTTATACGAAATAATTATCAAACATGTATTTTAAAACAGTGAAGAGCAATTGGTTGTGGTAACTAAAATGTGTATTAATAATTCATTGTGCTTTTTTATATGCTACAAAATTTAAATATTGTGAATTAAAAAATCGAAATTGTCAAAATCGGTTTAAATCTTTGATTAGTACTAACAACTTTAATTTCTTTTTCATATAATATTTTGATTACTTTTTTTGTAATTGTAATCAAAAGGTTTATTTCCCATTGTATCTGGGAATTTTGAATGAAATGTCAAGAAGAATTTATTTTGACTACAATTTGGCTACACAGTTTTATTCGGAAAGCTGACGAGAATAGTAAAGGTGAAAGTTTGTGTCGTGGCAATTTTTTTGAATATTCAATTAAAATTTGGTACATTTGAATATATAGAAATTAATTAGATTATTTTTTCAATTGAAAATTTAAAATATTTTAAATAATTAATTTCTTAGTATAAATTTTTTTTTCCGTAAAACATACAAATTTTAAACAGAGGAAATAAAAAATAAAAAGTTTAGTGACCCGTCGTGGTATTGTGGTGCTTGTGTTATTTCTGTTTTTTGCAGACTGCATTTTAAAAGCAGAGCAATTTTTCCTTTTTTTTTGATTCATTGTTTTCGTTTTGTTTACAAAAAATAAAAATTTTAAAATAAAAAAGCAAAAATTAGGTTGAATCGGAACTTTTGCTTATATTGAGAAAAAAAAATAAATATAAAAAAAGTTTATTTGATAAAAATTTGTGAAAGAAAATTCTGAAAAAACAAAAAAAAGAAATTGTTAAATAAATAGGCTTTGGATTACAATTTCAAAAGGATACAAAAATTTCCATCAGAATGTCTGCATCAAGCGAATCATTAAAAGAAGGTAAGTGTTCAATTTGTTCACATGCCTACTAAAAATTTTAATATTGTTTAGGAATTTAATCTCCTTTAAACCTCGATGACCGTATGTTTTATCGTAATACCCGTAGGGAAAAATAAACAAAACAAATTTTAAAATTAAATTTTAATTTTGAAAATTTAAAATTTATTACTTGTAATACATAAATTTATTACTGTTGATCGTTCGTTTTTTTGTTAGGTGCCTATCTCTCCAACGTGCTCTGTTCTTTAGATTACCTCAAAAGGTATATTTTATAATTAATAAAACACCTTTCTGCCCCATTTTTTTCTACGAGGTTTACTTCACATTTAAATTTTTGTCGGGGAAAATATTTAAAAACCTCTTTTTTGAATTAATTTATGCATATTTCATATACATACATATTTACATATTTTGTAAATACTTGGTTGCTAATTATAAAAAATTCAAGGTAAGAAACTAATATTTTTTAAAAATATTTAAAATTTGAAAATTGAAGTTTTGCAAGCATGGCTACCATTCTTTTGAAATTATTATTTTAAAAAATTCTTGAAATTAATATAAGAAAAGATAATTATTTTAAATTAAACGCATAATTACAATTAAAGCTTATGATAATTCCTTATTTTATGAAAAATTGGGTAGGTAATCACATCTTAAACAATGAGAAAAAATTATATTGTGATTATAATAAGAAAATTACAAGAAATTATAGCTGTGTGCATGAACAAATTTCATTATTTTACATAAAAAAAATTGTGGTGAGTTCTTATTTCACTTATAAAATAATAATAAAATAATAATAACTATAGCAACAATGATCAAAATATCCTTAAATTATTGTCATGTTGCTGTTGAGACAGTTAAAATATCATAATAAGTACCTACCTAAGTACATACCTTAAGTTAAAATAAAAAAGTCAGAAATTAATGGTTTTTCGTCTCAATTTTTTTTTTTAATTTAATTTAATTTTGTTTTTCATTTTAGGTTTTAAAAATTGTTTGAATACTTTTAGAATCGGATCTTTGAAATTTTTGAATATTTCGAAGCCTATAACGAATTCTGAAAATCAAGAGGTACGAAGAGTGATTAAACCCAAGATCACGTAGGATTTTTAAAATATATCTAGAAAATGGAAAACTTGATTGTTCCATTTGAGAATGTAAGCATGACATGATGAAAACATGACTTTATATTTTAATATGGGATTAAACATGATTGATAGCGAAAGAGTAAATTTGTTTTCAAGTATTCCACCAGACAAATGTGCTATTTGAAGTAGCTTTTCAAAGAGTTTTACAAAAATTTCTAGAAAATGTTTTATCAGTTTTTTGTTATTCTTATAATTCAAGTTAAGGCTCTCTAATACCAGGCTATGTAAATCATATATAAGTTGTAAACTATTAAATAACTATTCTGTATTTTTGTATTATGTAAATGTTATGTTTAATAACCTGAATTGTAATTAAAGAAACGACAAGAACAATAATAATAGTCTAACAAGAAAAAAAAAAATTGCCAATAACTTCTACATATCAAGGACAATACCGCAGATAGAAATAAATAAGGGACACAATTCTATTCCTTTCCGTTTATTGATTGACATGAAATAAAAAAATATGAAATTGTGGAAAATTTTCATTTTGTAAAGAAAAAAAAAAACAAAAGAAAAACCAATTAAGTGTAGGTTGTTGTGATGGTTGTAAAATTTTCTAATAAACTTTTCAGTCGCGCTGATCAAAATAAGCTGATATGCAAATACGAATAAGAAATAAAAGTGTAACTTGGAAAATAACCCAAATAATGATATTAAATTTTGTACACACAATAAGAAAACAAAAAAGAAAACGAAAAAGAAAATAAAATAAAGCAATTTCTTTAAAAAGGATGTAAAGGACACTAGTGACAAGCACTTGGTAGGTAGTTAGGTGATGAAATCGATATTTTGTTTTAAAAAAAAAAGGAAAAATAATAACAATAACCGTATTTACAATAACCATTCGTTTAAGTCAGTCGAATAAAAAATGGGTTTTTGTGCGATGTAAATGTGTAAAAATTGTTTATTGAAATTGATTGGCATCTTTTTTTTTCGAATATACTGGCCTTCATTTTAACAATATTGTTTGGGTTGATTGATTGAAAAATACAGGAAAAAAAGTATGAATTAAAGAAAATGTACGAATATTATCATAGGACAGGGAATTGGAAAGTTAAGGTCTGAGGTCCGTACAAAGATAGGAATTCGCAGCAGTGCAATTAGAATTACGAGTACAAGTACTTATACAACAAAAAAATCACACAAAAATCCATTGAAAATTCAAAAATTTTTGTATTTTAGGACTCAAATATGCTTGAACAATAAATTTTGTACATTTGTAAAACTGGAATACATTAACAATGAATATACTTACCTACTTGCATATGTACCATGTAATTGTACTTAAGTAATTATAAAAATGGTTTTCACTGTTCATGACGGTTCTGTTCAGAGTCATTATTCAACGACATATTGCTAAGATTGATTGTTAATTGTTTGAATTCTTTCAACAAAATCAAAAGATTTCTCAATTACCACTTCTAAATAAATTTATCAAAAAATTTCATTTACGCCTCATTTAAGATTTAAAGAAATTTATTTTGTATTTAATGATCTAAATTCTTTTGTAAGCTTTTATAATATAGCTATTATTATATAATTATTTGATGTAATTCCAATATGAATTTGTTGAACAATTTAGAAATTCAAACACAAAAATTTCTCGTACATCCTTATATTATATGTAGGTATGGTAAAATTAATCTGGAATTGTAAAATTAATTTAAAAACATCATAAATCTTAAGTTTTCTAGATTACGTTTGTAGACAGACTTTAATAACTTAAAATAAATTTACATAAAGTTTTAATGACCATAAATTTTTCATTTTAGCCATTTTCCAATATTCATGCCAGTATCTTACAATATATTACTCGTATTCCCAAGAATATTTTGGACTATTCTTGTGACCTACGTACAACAAAATTTTGGAATTAGCTGTTACGTGTAGTTTACAATGTGGGCATAAAATTAAAATGCTTCTTACTAATTTGAAAATTATTATTTGATCTGTTCCAATATTCAATTAAATTACGGATATAGTGTCAGTAGTCAGTATTTTTAATGATCATTGTAACCTCAGTGTACAAAATGAAACTAAGTAAATTTTAAATTTAGAAAATTATAATAAAATTATTTATGTTATTAATCTTTTCTAAATTTATTAATTTAAAATTCAACCAATAATGGCAAAACTTTTACAAGTACTTATAGATCATCAAAATACGTGCATAAAATAGTAAAAAATTTATTTTTAAATAAATATTTTGTGATAAATCAAAAATGTGCTATTGAGAGGTGTCGAAATATAAGAGAATAAAAATTGTATATAAATGTACAAGAGGATAATTTTCAAAAGGGTGGGAAATTTATAAAAATTTGAATGTTAATTTTATGTACCATTTCAGTTTTTAATTAAAATTTTATGTAAATGTTGGAATTGCGGAATTTCAAATTTACTTTCATTCGAAAAGCTCAAATTTCAGATCCCTTTTCCGTAGGTTTCGACTTAAATATCACCATTTACACATAAGTAATATTCTTTTTTAAATTTAAAATTTGCGGCGGTTGTTTAACAATAAATAACATATAAAATTTCACACATTGCATGATTCAGGTCAACAATTAATTGATGGTTTAAAAGTACATATTCACTTATTATAAAAGAAATTTTGCACTTTAAATAATTTAATTAAATAAATACTTATTTATTTAATAATTTAATATTTTTTGGAGGATATTGTTCAGACTCCAGTCTCTCTGATATAAGGAGACAGTATGAAAAATTAAACTGTACTGATTTTATATTGAAAGTTGTAATAAATAACAGGTCAAATGTCAAAAATGCGAAACACAAAAAATCACCCTATAAAAATGGAAGTATAAGTTAATTTTGTTGTAATACTTTTTAATAAAATTTTAAATAATGGTCTTTTCTATAATTTTAAATGTTGAAACCACTTACTCATATACCATTTGATTTAAATATTTGAAAAACAAAAAAAAAGTTGGTCTCTTGTTTTTTCCTAAAGGGATTTCAAACTTTGTAATAAAAAAAAAAATAATTTCATCATCAATTCTTAACACATTCTTTTTAAAAATTTGTAAAAATTGCGTATAGCTTAACTAAATATTTAAGTATCTAGTTAGATAAGTATTAATAAATATTCAAGTTTTGAAAAATATTGAGTAGAATGGAGCTCTTCTGGTATCTAAGTTCCAAGTTTGTCGAAAATGTAAATTTTATGATGAATGTTTTTTAATACCAGTACAATAAATAATATAAAGAGAAACGTTCTTAAATTGTTTTTGATTGAAATTTTTAAAGAATTTTAAGAGGAAAAACTGTTCAAATTCTCAAATTTGTTTTGGTTAAAAAATTATTTTATAGCCTTAGGTGCTTAATAAACAAAAAGAAAATTTAAATTTACTTTGACTAAATTAAAAAAATTATTTTTAACTTAAATTAATTTTAAAATTATATTTTTGATAAAAAAAAAATATTTAAAATCCAAAAAAAACATTTTGCCTTTAAAGACTCTTTAGTATAAGTAATTGAATAAAAAATTTTCATTATACTCAAACAATCTTTTAAATTTTTAAATAATTTTAATTTTTAATACACGTTCATTTAGTATGTACACTCCATATTCGAAGTTAAAGGAATAAGAATAATGTTTAAAATATTATGGGGTTGAATAAAGTATAAGTACCTACACAAAACCATTAAGGTTAATTTATAGCATTTTAAATGTATGGAATTTAAATTAATGTACTCGTATATATGTACATAATAGGGTAAAAGAATATAAATATGGCACTCAGCTATTTTGTAAACAATTATTTAGAGATTCGTATAAGGTTTTTTATTCGTTCACAGAAAATTAATAAAAATTTTAAGAGCTTC